CCGGAGCCTAAAAGGCTGTGGACAGCTATAGGATGCCCCCCACATCTTCAAGCCCCTTTCTCCTCCTTCCCCTCACACACTGCCTCCTCGGGGACACGTCCCTACTGACTGTCCATCCATGAGGCCCTCAGGCCGAGGTCCCCCCATCTCTGGCACTTCTAGGGTATTCGAGGGCCGGCACACATGTGTTCTGCGTCCCTCCTCCTGCCAGGCCTGTTACCAAGTCCAGATGGAAGTCTCCGGAGCTGCAGGCAGGTCTTAGGTGCAATTTATAAAGACTCGCACCAAAGACCAGGGCCCAGCTAAGCGGCACTGACTGTCCAGAAGCCACTCTGAACCAAGAAGAATCTACTCAGGGATCTAAGTCGGCACATGCACATGAGGCTCCTCCACAAACAAGGGAGTAACGTGTGTGTCTGTTTTTTTTTTTTTTGTGAGGAGATCAGCCCTGTGCTAACATCTGCCAATCCTCCTCCTTTTTTTTGCTGAGGAAGACTGGCCCTGGGCTAAATCCGTGCCCGTCTTCCTCCACTTTATATGGGACGCTGCCACAGCACGGTTTGCCAAGCGGTGCGTCAGTGCGCGCTCGGGATCTGAACTGGCGAACCCCGGGCTACCACAGTGGAGCGCGCGCACTTAACCACTTGCCCCACCAGGCCGGCCCCAATCCTCCTGTTTTTTTGCTGAGGAAGACTGGCCCTGGGCTAACATCTGTGCTCATCTTCCTCCACTTTATATGGGACACTGCCACAGCATGGCTTGACAAGCAGTGCGTCGGTGCGTGCCTGGGATCCAAACCGGTGAACCCGGGCCGCCGCAGCAGAGCACACGCACTTATGTGTGTGTCTGATTTTAAGGAGTAAGAGCACATTCCATGCACGAGATGAGTGTAAAATAATAAATTAGGGTGAACAGTTGAAGGTTTTATTTGGGAACAGCAAGTTAACTGTGAACATTTTAATGGTAGTTTGCTCATCTATGAGCTGAGATGCTGAAGTGAGAAAAATGTCCCCAAACTACAATTTAATGTGGGGGGGGATAAAAATAGTAATTTCAGCTACAATCTTCAGATCACCCATTTTTCCTGCGATATCTTAAACGGAAGCAGTTTCCATGTTTTTGGTGATTTTGTAGTTAATGTTAATTTGGGCTGTCATTTGGAAAAGATGGGCTGTCTGTGCAGATAGAAGTATGGTTTTTCCATCACACAGATGTTTATTTTGTATTAAAAACACCACGTTCTTGTTTCTACCATGTATATACACGCTGTGATATTAATGCCAAACCGTAACATCTGGGATGCCCTGTCGCTGCCCAGGGAGAACGGAACGTGGCCAACCAGAATGGGCACTCCTGGATCTGGGGAGGAAGGGAAGAAATCCTTATTTTCTCCCTGTTCAGAGACCCGTTCTAATAACCTAGCTCATGTGGAACGTTTGCCATTTCATTTACCAGATTTCTACTCGTGGCCGCTAGTGAGCACCCGGCACAGCTCCAGGGTTTAATCGATTCCTGCGTGTTTGATGGCAGTGGAAGTGCGAACACGGTGCCGTTCCTCTGGGCCCAGCAAGAGGCCCGCAGCAAACCTGTGGGGAACACGCTTGGCGAGAAGCCCGTGAGCGAGGAGAAGCGCTCACAAACCCACAGTTACCCTCAGCACCCTGGGAGCGGAGGCGGGTGGCACGCACCCCACTCCAGGCGGAGCTCTTCCAGGCCAGGCAGAGCCCGGGGGCTCCCCGAATCTCCTGAAGCCGCCCAGACTTCCCATGGCAGGACTGGCTGGTGCCCCACCACATTTCATGACTTTAGTCCTCGTGGGTGTCCTGGTGGCTCTGCTCTCCAAATACTGGCAAAGTCAGTGAGGATTTCGGGGCACAGCGCTAACACCCGAAGTCCGACTGAGGGAGCTGCTGGTTCTTCTCCCTCTCAGGGGCTCAGGCAACCCTACCAGTTTATCTGCTCAAAGATGCAGCGCCACCAGGAAGCAAGGCCCTGTGGCTCAAGTTTATACCATTTACCACGAGCAGCCTTGCTATATAAACATCGTGATGTCTTCACTTACTAATCCTCACAGCAACCGATGGGGCGGGCCTTCCTGCTATTCCCTGTTCCCAGAGGAAGAAAGCGGGGCACAGAGAGGTTACCCCATGCAAGGTCGCACAGCCAATAAGAGGAGGGGCTAGAACTTGAACCTAGCTCTCGGCTCTGAGCCTCTGCAGCACCGCTGTCACAGAAAAGGCTGCAAAACGCTTTGAAACAGACCAGAATGAGGACTGGTGTCTTCAGGGAAACTGGGTGCTGTCTGCACACACCTTCCCGATTCTCTGTTTCTATGGGGCCTGTCGTTGTCTCGGGGTGACTTTCCAACTCTGTGACTTACACACAACAGACAGCCATGCACATGGTGCCTGGACACAGACGTGCGAATGAGGTGTGTCTGGCGGAGGACACCCGACTGCCACCCCCACCTTGCACAGTCTGCACCCACATGCAAATCTCCCTCAGGTTCCTGATCACCCAACCATGTGCAGGAATTTGCACTCTCCTTTGAGCTGGTTGTAACATCTTCCCAGCTCCTCATTAATTCGTGAGTCACATAAAATCTATACATATTCACTTTATATTTGTACCAAAGACATGACTGTACCTTAAAATCCTTTCACACCGCGACTGCCTAAGCAGTGCCAGGTATTAACTAAACACTCAGAGTCCAAAAATATCCAGCACAGCCTGCTCTTAAGGAGTTCACACCTAACCGGGGAGACAGGCATATACAAAATTTGGGGTCAAAGCAGGCATGTAAATACAGCCCGGGAAAGACACCCTATTCTGAGCAACCAAGTTTAGGTGCTTCTAGAGGTCACGGACAGGTTCTGTAAAATAAGAGGCAAAGGAGCTAGACGTGCACAGTGATTATTCCTGGGATGTGGCCTCCCAGGATGAGTGTCAACAGTCTTCTGAACGTCAGTGTGAAAAAGCAGTACAGTAAGTGGTCACGTCGTGGGGCTCACACAGGATGATAACTTAACACACCTGGGAACGTGTGACTTGGAGAAGATTCCCAGGGACGTGAGTGCAGAAAGTGCTGTGCTCTGGGCAACAGAGATGGAAGTGAGGCTGAAATATATGAGGCTTTTACATCCACATCCCTACAAGCTTACATAGTAAAGTTAACCAAAAAACAAAACAAAACTTTTTTGCAACCCATTTAGGAAGTATAGGGATCGGGGTGGGTTGCCCTCCCTTGGGCGTGTTCTGTATTTCCAGGAGACTGTGGTCAGTGCTAAATGGAGGCACGGAGAAAGCACACCGGGACACGACAAAGGGGACCTTTGCCTGCTGGGCCTTTCCAGATGGCTCTGGGCAGGAGGAGAGGAGGTGAGGAAGGGCAGGACCTGTCAGCAGCCAAGCAAAGACGGAGAGAGCAGAGGGACCCAGGGTGGAGCCCGGTCACAGCGACCTCGTCCACACGCCTAGGAGCCTGGACTGTGTCCCAGAAACAGTTGGGAAAGGAATCAGAGGAGCTTTGAAGCAGGAGAAAGACACTTCAGATCTGTGCTTTCAAAATATGGCTCAGTTCCATCGTGGGGGAACTGACAGCCTGGGGAGCCCTAGGGGCCGGACGCCCCGAGGAGGCTGTGGTTGGGGTTCAGGCAGGAGAGAAAGGGAGGAATCTGAGACGTATTTAGGAAGGCAGCTATGCGCACTGCTAGACCACCAATGCTGAGACATATTGAGGAGGCGGAATCAGTGAGATTCGGGGAGGGGACAACTACAGATGTTCCAGCCTGGACGACGGAGAAGACGGGATGCCATTAACCAGCATCGAGCTAAGCAGGTTTGGGGACAGGCCAGTTAATCCCAGGGTTTTGGACACAGAGGTAGCAGCCAGTACAGGTGGGAAGAGGGGAGCAAAGATCAGGAGAGGACTGAGGGTGGATGTAGAGGGGTGGGAGCTGCTGGTCTGAACTACAGCTAAAGCACGAAGCAGAAAGAGTTAAAGTAGCAGGACTGAAACTGCTGGCCTTAGAAAGGCCTGCTTGCAAGGCTGGCCCTTAGCCAGAGGCTGGGCACTGAATGGTAAACAGTCCTCTACACTGATAGAAAACTTCCCCTAAAAGATAAGAGTGGCTCACTGTGCTTAAACTGTTTGTGCATAAACAATGTGGTTTCTGCTGAACACCCGCTTACTTTCTGGGAGTCTGGAATTTTGGTACACGCCAGGTAGGGGATGAGCAGCCCCTGAGTTGTCACAACTTCTTGTTGGAGGAATTAAGTGTGTCCTGTGTGACTCCACAGGGAGAGGATTCTCGGAAGCTCGCTCCTGCTTTCCTCCCGGACTTCATCCCCTGCGCCTTTTCCTTCTGCCAATTTCGCTTTATATCCTTTCACAGCAATAACTCTCAGCCTCGAGTATGACTATGTGCTGAGTCCTGTAAGTTCTCCTGGGGGAGATCATGCAACCTGGGGCTGGTCTTGAGGACCCTGACACAGGACACAGTCAATAATTTTTCAGATAAACAAATTGGGTGCGTCCCAAGTTGCTGGCCAAAAGAAATTCTGAACAGAGTGTATTGAATATCCCAGACCAGTAGTTTTCAAACTTATTTAAAGCAGTAGAATTCCAATATATAGAAAGTTTATAAGTGAAGCTCTTAGTATGGGTTAATTTATTCCACTAATCAGTAAGATCCATAAGCATGGAAACCCACCTCCCTTCCCAGTGGCATCCCAATAGCTGACCCAATGCCTGCACTCAGTGGGTGCTTTCAATAAATACCTTGTTACTAGAATTAAATAATTTAGGTTTAGATGTATGAAATTCACTTAATATGACACCAGCCAACGAGAGCAACAAAGCTAGTGTGATGAACCAAAACCCCCATTACTCGCAATCGGGAGAACCCTACAGACAACGGCAGACACCTCACGCCCACTCAGCTCCCATGCAGTTCAAATCAGAAATCAACAGAATCTCAGAAACACCTTCTTTTTCTTACCGACTTGTCGTCTGGAAGCAGGAGTGTAAGCCGACCAGGAAGGGGTTGCTGGATGCTTGCTCGAACACATGCTTCTCTGTCTGCACCCAGTCAATGTCCTGAAATCGAAACCAGGGAGCGTTAACGAGGCTCCTGAACACCCTTCACAGGCATCCTGGAGATGGAGAGGCAAGAGAGGAATGTCTCTCACCTCTGCTTGTGGGAAGACAATGCAGAGAAGAAAAGCAAAATGCCATTAAGCAATACATCACCACCACCAGCATCATCTATTATTATCCCCCACTGTCATCATTATCATCACCACCATCTCCATCTCTATCACTACCATCACCATCACCACCATCACTATCTCCACTACTATCATCCATTATCACCACCATCACCACCACCATCTCCATCATCATCATCATTTCCACCACCATCATCCATTATCATTCACCAC